GCAGCACTACAACTGTCTTAAACCTATATTAGCCATTTCTGGTGTCCCCTGCCATGATATTGCCGGAATATTGCTAAAAGTGGCATTAAACTTAACTCCCTCACTCACTCAAGCCTATATTAATGTATGGGAGTTACAACTGTCTTAATGTTACGAGCACTTCGTGAAACATGGCCTAGTATCTTTTAGCTGTATTTTGCCAAGTGACATCACCTATATTCAAACTTCACTCTCAAATTTTTATATGGAATGAATCTTTCATGGGAAAACTTAAACCACTATACAAGGGTACACATATTTTAGCTGTATTTTGGCAAGTGACATCACCTATACTTCACGGAACTTCTTCCTGGAATTTTTATATGGACTAAATCTTTGATGGGAATCTTAGACAAACTATACAAGGGTGCCCCTGGACCACAGAGAATGAGTTCAGACAGACTTCTGTTAAATTTAACAAGACACAGCAACATGAACCATTCTCCAAATTCATCACTGATGATAAGCCTGATTCTTCAGCAGTACAAATGATGAACATGTTCGAAGAAGACACATTAATGAAGACTCCCAAAGCTGCAGCAGCAATTTCATTAGTCCATCGTGAAGCATATTGATCAAAAATGAGTTTGAAAATGCAAATCGACAGATAAATTGGTCAAATTTAGAACGTGATTTTCAGCTGTTGAAGATGTTTCAAATTTCTGAAAAATTATCCATGATATACATGTATTACAGTATTCAATTATCAGCAATCAATGACTAAGATGAAACGGAATGTGTTTGGGTTAAGCCATATATCATATTATAGGGCTTGATCTAAGGAACTTCACTGCCCTGAAAACCTAGTTGTACCAAACAAAACTAGGTTGCACCGTGGTGCTGTAAATTTAAAAGTGCACATGCACTTAATCTTGAAGTACCCAAAAGCAGGACATTACACATAACACTACCATTACTGACATAGTGTGGTAAATAGTACAATGAGGTTCTGACTTAGTTCAAAGATGGATGTTGTGCTGACAAGCATGGGTTGCACATAATTTTCAAATATTTTGACATGAGCTTGGAGCATGAGGACATTAAATGCATCTTACAATAACAGTTTGGATTGGTACATGTTGATATCTAGATCGAGGCCCTGTATGGGTCACGTCATTTGTAGAAATGTTACATAAAATATGGATTTCAGAAATAACTGTAGTTTGGGTTTCTTGAGAACATATTATGCCAAGATGCAATTCAACAAAGACAAAGGAAATTCTTTGGAAGTAGTTGACATAATGTAACATTCTTATAAAACTTGACACCCTTACACAAGGACAACACACATGCACTATTTACATAGCTTTAGGCAAAAAAAATTAAAATTATTTTCATGTACACACGTAATTCTGTTTAAGTCTACTATAACATACTGTAATGGATGAATTGATTGCCCATCCCAAATAAGCATCAAAAACTCTACAGCAACACCAATAACTTAGGCATATCTACATAGCTACAGGTGCAACATTTTGACTTCAACAAACTGAATTTACCAGAAAAATACTAGGATAATATGGAAACCAAATTTGCAACGACTAAATATCTTACTTCAGAGAGAGGATTTCATGGTAAATAAAGTTCAATATTTGAGAATAAATAAAACACAAAAGAAAACCTTTGAAATACTCATATATGAATGATTAGATAGTCAAAGTTGAATCACAAGGTGGTTGAAAAGAAATTTGGATTGATGTTTTGATTGACAGGTTATTAATTAGGAACAACCTAGACAAGAATGACTACTGTTTGTGATGGTGCTATCAGTAAAAACACCACTGTCTGAAAATATGCAAACACTACATATGAACCAAAAATAATAAACCGACATCAACCAATTCCACAGGAAATTACTTCTTTGAATGGCATTTTAGAAGTTGGGAAGAACAATACAGACCAACTTTATGGCTAACAACTTGTTTATTTCGTGAGTGCAATGTTTCAAAACAGAATCTTGTACCGTTGTTTCCTGCTCGACAACACTTCAAGAATCTGTATCGAAACGTCGTACTCATGAAGCAGAGAAGCTGTTTGTAACGCAAGAATGACTACTGTTGTGTGCTGGTGCCAACAGTAAAAACACCATATGTCAGTATGAAAGTATGTAAACATTACATATGAAATAAATATAATCTACCAATCCCACAGGACATTCCTAAAGAATGTTTAACAAAATAAACACTAACATCCCTTACAGGAGAATTAAAAGACCTACCGATACTAATCATCCCCCAAGAATATTTCATACCAAAAACAATGAAGCAATATTTTGTACAGTATCAATGATAATACTTTGGTAAGGTCATTCCAATGCATACCAATATTTAAGAATTCAAACTTCACACCACATTTGAGCAGCATAAACAATTCTCACATTCATGTCAAAACCAGATATGAATCATGCTTTAAGACAGACAATTCATTGTACACTCTATATTCAGGGGTGTATATTCAATATCCATGAGTCAGTACATAATAAATGTGGTCATAAATTCCAATAGCTGACACAACTTTCAGTTGTGAATATATATTCTTTTAACACAATTTATTAGTGACACACAAGATAAAGATTTTGATGAATTTAAATTTTTGGAATGTGTTCAAAACTTCTGTTAATAAATGAAATAGAAAGATTGTTTAACAAAGAAAGACTTATATGGCCATAGGCAAAGTTGAAACCACATTTACACATATAAAAATCGAGTACAAAGACATCAAAATAATGTTCTAGGCCAATTTCCCCCCAAATGATGGTAGAAACACTGATTATATACGCATACACATGTATGTACATGAATAGTGTTACCCCAGGCCATACATTACTAAAGCAATGGTCACATCTTACGGACACGCACGTAGTTGACCATAGAGGGGGATGAACGTAGTATTTGACCTTAGTTTAATGTAGTTAGACATATTAAAGCATAGCTCAACATAGATCACTGTAGTTATGACCAGTGATCGAAATAATTTTCAAACTCAACCAGACAGTTGGGCAGGTGACCAATAAATGTCGCCTGCCCATCTTGAAAGTTGCCTGCCTGCACTTTTGACTAATAAATTGCATTTATCATTGTTTCAAATGGAAATCAATTCAGCAAATTAAAAACAACAAGCATGAAATTAAATCCTCTGTCACATCCCCAGCCTGTGACATTTGAAAAGAGCCTGTTAAACTTGCAATTAGCCATACACCACCAATATGATATATTTTCTGAAAAACTTCAATAGTGAAAGTTTAGAGCGATACCCGCCTCAAAGCCTCTTCTCGTGTGTTATTCATACAAAACTTCCAAAAGGGAGGTATTTAAAAATATCAGCCAGACAATTGGGCTTGTGGAGATTTTTTTGAGGCAGTCTGACATGAAAGTTGCCAGTCTCAAGGCAGGCGGGCAGGCTGTTATTTCGATCACTGGTTATGACCGTACTTTGTACTACTGTTACTGTAGTTTGAACATTGTTGACCCTAGTAGACCGTAATTGCCCCTACTGCACTATTGTGTTGACCGTAGTACACCGTGGTAACATGGCACTACAATAAACTACGGTTTACTACTACTTCCAACCTACTTCAATCTAGTTCATCGTAGTGGCACTACGATGAACTACGTTCAAATGAGTTACAGTCAACAACATACATGACAGTAAGATGTGATGGCTTAAGGTACAATGGTCCTGGGAGATTTCGACACCAACAGATCCCTAAGAGCTTCTGTTACTGATGTTATGAAAACACAGAACGTGCATTTTGGATTGTCTGTAACATGAAATTGAAACAATACTGCATGATTCATGTCTCCCATGTAGTAAGGTGATAAAGGCAGGAGAACCCTCAAATTTGAGGTAATGTCATATTCCCTTATTTAGGAGAATTTTGTACAAAGATGACAGTAAATTGTGAATGAGCAAAAAATAATCAGTGTGAAAACGTTATATTTCAATATACCAGAGTTTGTATTAACATCCATAAAGATTTGGATTGGATAACAAGTGGTGCTATGGCAATTAAATAAATAGTTGTATACAGTATTGTTACCACTCCCAAGTATGTATATACTATATTCCTGACTACAAGTGATACAAGGGCAACACCTGTACATCAGGCATTTCTCAATCAAGTCATCATGTGAGAAGTGTATGGTTGTTTATTTAATAATAAATCTCATAATTGCAATCTTGGAGTACGTAAGTCTCCATTAATACTGGGCTGGTCAATCCATCTGTATTTTCAGGACTCAGGCTCTGTTGTCGATGGCAACACACCAGAAGACTGTCAGTCTCTATTACAATGACAAGATGGCTGTACACCACCGAGTCATTGATGTCCCAACATCATCAAGCAATCTTGTTTCCAAAGATTTAACAGTGAAACCACAGAGATAGTGATCCATACACATACAACCACTCTCTTGATCTGCCCCTAAAGTTAATCGAAACTTGGCAGAAATCCTACATTTATGTCTACAATATTAGAATCCTTTGAGAGACAATTCTTGACTTCCTTGTCACTGGCACAATTTAGAAAAGACCAGTAGTGAATAAATGCTTATTGCTTGTGAAAAAACAAACTTGGGACCTTCAAAGAAGATGACTAGCATATTACAGAGAGTATCACAACACAACTGGCTCTTAATCCAAGGGAAGTAACTGTAGGACAACAGTTCCCATTTGTTTGTTGGTACCGAACCATCAGGAGGCCAACACTTCTAACAACTAACAACTGAGTCATCTATTGCTTTCCTTGGTATTAAACACGTTCTGACAAGATACATGTGGTTATCACAGTAAGCAGTCCAAGGAGGAAGTATTGTCATGGTACACGGTAACAGGATCTTAGCTATGACAGTAGGGCCCGTAAGTAGGTCACGGCACTTCAGCGAGACCTTAGTACTTCTGGTGACAAACAATGTTTCATACCTTTTTGAATGGTTTCATGGTTGGAACAGTAAGGAGCCAATAATCCTTGCCAGTATAACAAATTTCCGATTTAACCATCACCAAATTAGCCAATTATTATGACTGTCAACAGCTGTGACAGACAAGCATTGTTGTAAACTTGGTCTGGTCTTGTGAAGTCATATCTGGCAGTCGTGCAATTTGGAACTAGACTTGGTTCTTGAATATATGCTTGTAGCCGGAAGTCTGGTACCGGAAGTAAGCTGGGCCCCATCTCGCATATCGCAAGTTGGCACGTGCAAAGGGAGCTGGGAACCAGCTTAGTACCAGAAGTAGCGCCTCACAGGACTTACAGGACCTCTGACAAATAACTCTGTTGCCCACATTTAATGACAAATACAGGTCCTGCAGTGATTAGGTTATTGATGTACGGTTATGTAGTGACGTGATCAACAGTCCTGTTGGTTTTTGACAATGTTCAGTGATACTTGGTGTCTTTAAAAATGCCTGTGTGTGAGTGATGTGTTTTTGTATGCATGATAGGAGCAGGTACTGCTGATGATAGACTTCAGGAACTGTCTAATTGTGGGTAATGTCTGTCTGCCACACATCAAGTATCAACATGCAAGCCTATGCAATATACAAATATATTTTACTCCTTATATATCAGCTTTCAGCAGCTGGCTCAATTCACAGACTTATGTTGGGTTACTTATGTATAATAGTTTAACAAACAGTGATGAGTAACACAACACAACCTCATTCCCATGTGTCCCACCATTCAACACAACATCTCATTTCAAAACCAATTCATTCATAATGTACAATGTACAACAGTGATCCAATCCAACAATGTATATCCACAGTTAGTTTGAGGATACTGTCTCAGTTATCCCCCTTGTAGACCTGGTAACAACCCAGTTATCCCCCTTCCTAGACATAGTGATGCCTCAGTTATCCCCCTGCAATGTGCCTAGTGACATCACAGTTACACCCCTAAATAGATAAAGCGATACCTTTGTTAGATAACAGTTATCTCCTGTATATACAACAAATGATGTCCCAGTGATCTCCCCTGAAAACCTTGACCCCTCAAGTTACTGATACAAAATATTAATGAAACCTTTGCCACAGATTTCTTTCTAAAAGACACATAGAAAACACATTGATGACTGTACATTTGTCCCGCCTCAGGTCAGATCATTTAGTTCTTATGAAAGTGTCAGTTGTTCATCTGTTGGTGTTGTACACTCAGTCCTCCCTTTGTGTATGTTTGATAGTCCAATTGTATTATTGGTTCCCACTGAAAACAGCGTCCTTGTGTCCGGCCTGCTGGTGCTGTATACTGTTTGGCTGGAGCTGACCAATGGACACTTTCTGCCCACCACTTGCCCCTGGGGCATCAGGGATGCTGTTTGTTTGACTGTAAATAAAAGCATTGCCATTAACAATAAGTCCATTAAAATTTACCCGTAAAGATCCGGGTTAGAATTGGTCTTCAGTAACCCATGCTTGCTGTAAGAAATGTGCCCTGTTTCCTATCCAGGTGTAACATTGTAATAAATGTGCCCTGTTCCTGTCCAGGAGTAACATTGTAATAAATGTGCCCTGTTTCCTGTCCAGGAGTAACATTGTAATAAATGTGCCCTGTTCCTGTCCAGGAGTAACATTGTAATAAATGTGCCCTGTTTCCTGCCCAGGTGTAACATTGTAATAAATGTGCCCTGTTTCCTGTCCAGGTGTAACATTGTAATAAATGTGCCCTGTTCCTGTCCAGGAGTAACATTGTAATAAATGTGCCCTGTTTCCTACCCAGGTGTAACATTGTAATAAATGTGCCCTGTTTCCTACCCAGGTGTAACATTGTAATAAATGTGCCCTGTTTCCTACCCAGGTGTAACATTGTAATAAATGTGCCCAGGTGTAACATTGTAATAAATGTGCCCTGTTTCCTATCCAGGTGTAACATTGTAATAAATGTGCCCTGTTTCCTATCCAGGTGTAACATTGTAATAAATGTGCCCTGTTTCCTACCCAGGTGTAACATTGTAATAAATGTGCCCTGTTTCCTACCCAGGTGTAACATTGTAATAAATGTGCCCTGTTTCCTACCCAGGTGTAACATTGTAATAAATGTGCCCTGTTTCCTTTCCAGGTGTAACATTGTAATAAATGTGCCCTGTTTCCTGTCCAGGTGTAACATTGTAATAAATGTGCCCTGTTTCCTGTCCAGGTGTAACATTGTAATAAATGTGCCCTGTTTCCTACCCAGGTGTAACATTGTAATAAATGTGCCCTGTTTCCTACCCAGGTGTAACATTGTAATAAATGTGCCCTGTTTCCTTTCCAGGTGTAACATTGTAATAAATGTGCCCTGTTTCCTTTCCAGGTGTAACATTGTAATAAATGTGCCCTGTTTCCTTTCCAGGTGTAACATTGTAATAAATGTGCTTTGTGTATCACCATCCAGGTTTGACACTGTCTGTATTAGATGAGTTTCCTAGTTACCTGTTCCTTGTGTTGACAGGTTTAGCGCCCCCTGGTGGTGTCGTAGGGCCGTTCGTCATCGGTCTTGCTGAAGATGGTGTCTCCGTCCGACTGACATCACTGTTGTCGCTGATCACCTCATCATCGTATATCCTGTATCTGAAACATACAATGTGATTTCGTACAGGACTGATCCTTATGAACAGATGTAAATATTTACAGACACCATAAGTATTTGAAATCAAATCAGATGACATGAACTCTTGAGATACAGGATACAACTTTGTGACACTAAGTGTCACACGGGTACTCAATTATTACAGTTTATAGATCAAGGTGGAGTACCTAAAACCATGTTCATCTTCATATTCTTTATTCTCATCATCGCTGTCCTCATCAGGGGCCACAAACATCACTTCCATTGATATCTCTCCTTGCTGAAAGTAAACATTTAAAATTAACAGCAGCACATGATTCTTGGACTATTTCACTCACTGTATTATTGTTCATAAAAAGGACAGGAAGTTTTGTAAATCTTTCTTCAATCATGGCTTCAGATATCCCTCTGTATCCATTATTATCAAATAGAGCACAGCCCATACAGTATGTGAATACAGAGTGAATATTGCTGCATGCCAAAGTCAGTAATATGACAGCAGTATGAAACTGATTTACAAGAAAAGAACAATATCACTATCCCCCACCACATGGCACATTAGAATTGTTTGTTCGTATAGTAATGAATAACAAGGATGTAAATGTTATTTTTTAAAAACTTTAAGAAGAAAAGAAGCCTTAAGAAGAGATAAGAGTTAAAAAGATAAAGGTCTATTCATGCCATTAGCAATAAATAAATAAATGTGAATTAAATACACACACCAGTGTATAAAACATAGCCTGACCCACCGTCCTTGACTATTTTTGTGAAGGATGGTCTCTTAAATAAGAAAGGCCGTCCTTTGGTCGGGGGAAATATTTGAAACAATAAACTATGAAGAGTTTTAGTTTCTGGGACTGGCTGTGTTTGTTCAGGACTGGTCACTTGTTTGGACAGCCAGTCCTTCGACAGGCCACATTTCAAAATTATTTTATACACTGCACACACAAGAACCCTTCTTTAGACTTTTGTTTGTTATGGCAAATGTTTTAGAACTCATGAGTAATTAATTTAACTTCAGTAGTTTCTGAGAAAACTTGTCCCCATACAGAAATTCAGAAACAATGTCTCTCAAGATTAAGAAACATGTAGCAAGTGGAAGTGAGTCACATCAGTGTGTACAATGTCAGTTCTTTAACTTACATAGTTTCTGAGAAATCTTTTCCTCATTCACAAGAGGAAAAACAGGTGGAATGAAGAAATGATGGACAGACGAACTTTGTTCCAGACCAGTGGTTGATACTGTGAGCAACGATCGGCATCACAGACAAAAATAATAATAATAATAATAATAATAATAATGCACTTGTTAGGCACCTAATTTCCAACCGGTGGCTGCTCAGTGGTGCTTCACAAGGTTAAAAATAAGAATAAAATAAACAGAGTTATTGGTTGGAGAGATAGGTTTTCAAGTCACGGCGGAATGACTTGACAGAGTCTGCAGATTTAATATATGTTGGTAGGCTGTTCAACAAAGTTGGAGCCACAACAGAAAAAGCCTGGCTAGCTAACTTTGTCCTCGTAAAGGGTACACAGAGCTGGAGTTGACCAGATGAGCGGAGTCTGCGAGCAGGGACATAGGGAGTGAGGAGGTCCTTAACCCCCTTGATGCCGAGTTTTTTTCAGGCGCACATTTTCATACGGTTTGAAATGTGAACGTTGTGCGAGAATTGCGCTCGCATGGTCCTTGATCTACGTACGGCTATAAAATTACACAGAAATGTAGAATATTAAATTTCCTATCCGTTGGTATAAATATAAGTGCAACTACCTTGGCGGTTTGAGAAATAGACACTGCTAAATGTTGTCCAAAGTTTGTTATGCGTTAAAAAACAGTAAATTTATCCGCTTTTTATCGTGCACCGATAAAAGCACTGTGCTACGAATTTTTTAATGTGGCATCTTTACGGAAAGTGTGAGCAAAGAAAATACAGCCTGATATCTGAACGACATAAGTGTATATGAATTGGATTTATGTGCTTGTGCATAACATTATACGCTCAACACTAAAAATGACTCGCAATAAATGTCAAAAATGGATTTTCTTCACTTATAATGATAAGGGGGCATAACTCTGTTATGCGCAACACTAGGTCAATGTAACTCAGATCACTTGGAGAGGATTCCCATATTCTCCTGTTTGTGTAGATGTAATTTGATTAATTTTGCATCGTTATTACCAGAATACTAGCCATATCTTCAAATGTAATGAAATTGCTGAAAATAATACAACATTTTATTTGACGTCACTGCTTGTTTTATGCATTTTGCGACGTCGGAAAAAGACAACATTGGTATGCTGATTAGTATATATCTCCCCTAATTTCCATTAATTGTATAAAAGGTCTCGGCTTCTACGTCAGAATTTAACACTCTTTAGACAAAACATAAAATGACTGATTTTTCGATTTAAATAGTGTCCTGAATATATCAACAATTAGACGGTTTGACAGCATACCCTATTGTGAACAACACGCGCACCTGTTTGGCATCAATTTAACGTATCGGTAAATAAAAATAATATTTCACAACACCCGAATATTTTGTTTGGGATAAGATTTTTCTTTGTTTATGATTATGTAGCTATTTCTCTTCATACGTATGCAAGGACAGATGCAAAAAGATAGCTTTTTATATATGGAACTATATATTAGAATATGGATGTAAGATTTGTCCGAATTAACACGAGATGGTATATATATTTTTCAACAATATTCCTATAAATGTAGTTAGAGTTTTATATCCTGTCATCACAATATTATTTAATCGAATATGAATTGATGATATTATCGAAAACAATGATAGAGAATCATAAAACGTTTCCAACAAATGCGCACCTGGCCTATCAATATGCATCATTCTTTTGTCTATAAAACGACACAAAATTATGCAATGAACAAGACAATTCCTTTACATATGTGTGCATGTACATTTCATGCCATATATAAATCATTTTCATTAATATTATCAGTTTTACATATAAGGTTGATATAATATACCGTTTATTAACCTGTTCATATGAAATTGCAATATTAGTCCAAATAAGTTGAATATTGTACATCATAGGAACTAAAGTAGTTGCAGTTATGGCTACGTTTGATCTTCTAACACTTGTGTAAAGGTTTAGAATATGGTGTATTGCACTAAATATGTCAATTTCTGATGTAAATATGATTCAAACAATAAAAAAACTTTCAAAGAATAAAACACCGTAAACCCTATATGCACGTATGATATGATATTGAACAAGGCTAAATGTAGATACTGAAGTCAGTTTCATGAAAAAGTATCTGAACTATACGCAAAATATACACCATAATACTGACAGTGTAATCGGGAGGATTGGGCGATTGTGTTAACTCTTGTTCAACCGACCTTCACCTCAAAGAAATTGCCTAATATGTAGAACAATGTTGACGTATGACATCACTACCGCTTACCGATTTCTTACAAAATGGCGGCTTTGCTGACAAGGGTACACAGGATTTTGCGAGGACCCTTCTATTGATTCAGGGATCGTTTGTACATAAATATGAGATGTAAGTATTCAGAATGATTCTGACTATCTGTGTATTGTTATATGTTTTTTATCGTTTTCACTATAAGTAAGAGAAAAGCCAGAAATGCAGATAATTACCGTTGTCGTTCTGCCTGATTTTGCGTCAGTCATGGCGTCACGCTGCACGGAAACAATTTCCCATGAATTATCAAATCATTGTATTGTATCTATTTATAATTTCCTATTGCTTCCTACGATACTCTTTCCATGCATATTCCAAAGGTATTGAACCATTGCAAGCAATGAATAGACGGATGAATGTTGAAAAATTTCAGAAAATGCTACGCAGTGTAAAATCGGAATTTGTCTTTTTGTTTACATTTCAGACAAGCGCAGTCTTTCAAGCACAGCGTTCGTTTTCACACCCAATATGTTTAGTCTAATCTAGACAGTTGGTATTGGCGACACAGACCAGTTGCAATTTGATTCTAAACTGTATGGGGAATTCAGTGATGCATTTTTCGAAGCTGAATATGAAATATACGTGATGTAATAGGCGTCTCAATACCGGCCTTCGCGAACGTGATTTTGTAAACACTATCCACTATGGCGGAGAGCGCTCTACGGCGTTCGTGTAAGTGCATTTTCGAAAACATCCCAACCGATTCCAATTTTATCGGCAATGTTTCAGAATTATAATTAGCGATTTCATGTAAAACTGATATCAGTGATCATGAATATGTTATTTTTTAAATTCAATACTCCCAGTAATTATCCGATTTTCACATTTCAAAACATACAGCAAATAACGCTGTGAATCGTGATTTCATACTGTGTCAAAAATGGCGACATTTTCGATGAAGCCTATTTTGAAAGGTCATTTTCAGCACTTGAGCTTTGTCTAAAATAATAGTGGATGGTATCAAGAAACAGGAAATTTCCCACAGAATTCGAAACTGTGAAGTGTATTTGTGTGCGTGGGATATTTTGATTTTTATTGGACTTGAAATTGAGTGTTGAAGGGGAAGGACATATATGTCCCTGTGGCATCCAGGAGGTTAAGATAGGCTGCAGCAGTGTCACAGTGGAGGGCAGAAAAGCAGATAGTCAGGATCTTGAAGGATATACGCTGTTTGATGATATGTTATTAACCACGTCACTGAGCCTGACAACCTAATGCATTTTCTCACTTTTTCCAACCAGTACAGGTTGTTGTGGGCAGACACAGACTGTCCAGGGGGTTTAAATGGGACAGGTGACTAGGACACAATACCTGTTGAGAGAGGACTTGTACAGCTTCAGAGTGTTTGGCCTGTCTCAGATCAATACCATTCACTGACAATATTGCGTCTCCGACAAAGAGGCCCTCACATCTGTCAGCAGGTTGACCCTCGTGGATTTCGGAGATGAGGATGGGGACTCCATGTTCCTTTCCTCCCTGAAACAAACACACATTTTCAACTTTCTAAAATTACACAAAATCTGCATAAACTCAAAACATTATAAATTATAATTTCCTATTTTTAAAAAATTGACAATCATTGCCATACATTGACATCATAACCATGACAATTGAGGGCAACTCCCGGCAGTGAAAGTTGTCTCCCTTGTCACTAGTATGAATTACCTCCCTTTGTACACTGCCCTGACATTTGATGATGCACTGCATAAATGTTCCTTCAAATATTTTAGACTTCTGATAATAATGAGTTGGGTTCAATACAGCTTTAAACTGTACTTCCATTCCATTGACATCTTCTGCATAATAGTTCTGTTCCATATATCTGCTAGTGAGGGAAGAATTTCCCATGTCCTGAAATGACACTGAGTAGCCATTTCCTGATTTGTTTAACAGCACAAGTTTGGTGCTGTCAATGAAAGGATCATGATCAGGAAAAAGCTGGAATTCAAATCCATTATTAGTGGATCCTGGCTCAACAAGGGGAGGTAATGAAACACAGTATTCACTTACTGTAATGGACATGCCGAGGCCCTCATCAGCACTTTTTGTCAGTTTGATAGTTCGGGCTTCTCCTAAACCATGCTTTCTCTTCAATGACTGGAAATCCTGAAAATTAATGTGGTGAAATTACATACACATTTAATGATCGGCATCAGTGTCTTTTCAAATTCATATTCAGTGTTGCTATATTAAATATTAATATCCCCGACCTACAGACAGATTCTAGTATCATGAAGTGTTTACGCAGATTTTATCATTTACATTGGGTATAGATAGTTTTCTTTGGGTATTCAATATGTTTTTACTAACTTGGGTCCTGTCTATTGGGTATGTATTAATCAATACGAAAATCTCTTCTACTTAAAATGTTGCTTCAAGTGTGTATTCAAATGTGAAATATATAAAAATCACAGTGAACAGAAAAACAAGAAAAGGAGCTGACACATTTGACATTTAAAGCAGTAAAAAAAAATGGGTGCAGTTCAAGTCCACTCATTGCATGCCTCCCCATCCCACTTTGAAAAGTCATCCAAGATAACTACACAAACAGAGATGCCAGTGTATAACCATGCGAATGAGTTCTACTCGAAAAGGAACCAAGATTATGAGGTGAGACATGACTCGGCCACATACATGTCCTGGCGGTACAGGTAGCCTCTTCTTCCTGTTGGAGCGCCCCCTGCAGGCCCGGATGACCGTCTTGTGTCGATGTAGGTGTATCTCAGCCTCCAGTTGGTTCCACAGCTTGTCGTGTTCTGATCCCCGCATGTCCCGTCCCAGGAGCTGGATCTGCTGAATTCTGCAGTCAAGTATTGATCAGAGTAGGTGAGTAGTTGGGTTACATGCTGTGTTGAACAATATCAGATATATCACAGCTTGTTAACCTCATGAAAAATAAGGAAAATAATGATTAGAGTGCTTAATGCCATGATGAGCGGAGTCAAACCCCAGTCTGTGTTGTGGGAAGGAAACAAACTGCCTGCTTGCCTATATTACCCTCAGAACAAACCTACGTGACAGAATCACTTGCAGTACAGTAGTGCTTGGTGCTTTTGAAGGGAACTACGTACATGTAGGCATGTCAAAACACATGGAGTCTCTCCACAAGCTCTTCAATCAACCCTCTTCACTTGAACAAGAAACATCACTGACAGAAAAATGTGAGAGATGTTACATTGGTACAGCACTGTCACAACTTTGACAAAGTTGTTTTCACCATTTCAGAATATTCCAGCAATTTCACATCCACCATCAAAAAAGTAGACACAAATCAGTGGTTGATACTAAGGAGAACGTTTCACACGGTCAGTCTCTGACGACATTCAATCAACCCCGTAATCAACCTAATCAAGTTGCCTGTTTTGTATGTGAGGTGAAATTGGGTTTAACGTCGTGCTTGAGAATATTTCGCTCACATGACGACGTGCATGCGTGTGTGTGTGTATGTGCGGCTGCTTGTACTAGCCCAGACTGAAGCTGGTTTTATAGTGCTAGCCTACTGAGATGCCATGCCGCAGTGAAGCATGAATACCACTCAGACACATTATACTGACTCCGAGCCGACCAGTCCTTGTTGTACCCATTAATGCCGAGCGCCAGGCAGGGACCAACAAGTACCATATTTTAACGTCTTTTGGTATGACGCGGGTCGGGAACGAATGTTTTGTATGTAAATGTGATTTCTGAAACTACTTTGAAGTCAAAATATGAAACACTTATGACATTATATGATAAAGTGATAAAGTATGGTTATGTACCCAGTCATGTGACCTGGTAGCAAGGTCTTCAGCAACCCACGGGCGTACTGTTACACTTGACTGTAAAACTGTGGAAACTCCTGGGATTGGTTGATTCACTGACTTGGTAGATACATGTCACCACATCCTAGCTGCTGAGACAGATGCTCCTGATGTCTGTCACTGCCTTATCCAGACTTGAATCAGAGGTGGAAATAACTTTAAAATTGTTCGTGAACTCCGGTACAGTGGCACATGTAAAATCACTTGCCCTGATAATTTTTCCACTATACTGGCCGATTTTCTTGTTGATTTTTTAAATAAGCAACATAATTAACATTGGAAAGTCAACTGGACATCGGTACAGTGTGATATACAAATTTGCTTGCTAGACAGAAAAAAAAACACTGGACTGGGGCGTCGGGCAATGGATTACTTCCACCCCTGTGAATATCAACAAACCACCTTCATATAGCTGGAAAGTTGCTTTTAACAACAGTTGTAGTTACTAACAAACCTGATATCAACAGAGGATGTGGTCCATCAGTCTACCTCACCAAAGGCTCACTAAATACAATTTGGAATCCTAATATCATCTACGATATTGAAAAACACTTGGCTAATAATCTCTGTGACATCATCGTGAGTGATGTGAAGTGTTCCCACTGGAACCCTTTCATCTTTCTTTCATCCTCCCATCACCACTGACATACAGCGCCACCTACACTTTGTTCACAAGGGAGGCTTCATTGTGTATCATGTATGTCTGACATACAGCGCCACCTACACTTTGTTCACAAGGGAGGCTTCATTGTGTATCATGTATGTCTGACATACAGCGCCACCTACACTTTGTTCACAAGGGAGGCTTCATTGTGTATCATGTATGTCTGACATACAGCGCCACCTACACTTTGTTCACAAGGGAGGCTTCATTGTGTATCATGTATGTCTGACATACAGTGCCACCTACACTTTGTTCACAAGGGAGGCTTCATTGTGTATCATGTATATCTGACATACAGCGCCACCTACACTTTGTTCACAAGGGAGGCTTCATTGTGTATCATGTATATCTGACATATAGCGCCACCTACACTTTGTTCACAAGGGAGGCTTCATTGTGTATCATGTATATCGCCAGTTGTTCTAGACACCATGCATGGTGTGTTAGATGACAATAGATGCCACAGTGTCATAATTTAATCATGAGTATACATGCATGCGTGCAAAGCATTATCTATGACTTGGAATTTCATTCAGGAATACAAGGTTTATCATATATAGATTGACAAATAAATGTCAAACCACAGACAAAGCTTGCAAATGACAAGTTTCAAGATGAGTTCAGTCACATGTTTCACATTACCAGATGGACAAATGTCATTGATCTGCCCACTACATACAAAATGAGGTACATGGAATCTTAGCCTTTTTTATTCATTTCATTACTTCCCACAATCCTGGGGGCGGTTGGGTAGCCTAGTGGTTAAAGCATTGGCTCGTCACGCCGAAGACCCGGGTTCGAATCCCCACATGGGTACAATGTGTGAAGCCCATTTCTGGTGTCGCCCGCCTTGATGTTGCTGGAATATTGCTAAAAGCGGGGTAAAACGAAACTCAGTCAGTCAGTCAGTCTCACAATCCTCCAATCCTTTAAAATCCCTAATTATGCACATTTCACAGTGTACAATGATCCAGTGGTCAACATCACTTGGTATTTTCTCTTGAAAAATTGACAAGAGTAGCCAATTCACTGTCTTTTGTTTTGTTTGTTGTCTAACGCCGTACTCAGCAAAATGTCAGCGGTCTGAGAAGGGACCTGACAATCAAATGATCAACAGCATGCACATCAATCTACACAATCGGGACACGACGTCAACCAAGACCCCCAATCCCGTCAGTCACCTCTTACAACAAGCATGGTGAAGACCTATTCTAACCTGGAACTTCAATGGTCAATGACAAGCACAGGTTGCTGGTGTCCGTCCACCAGTAACCACTGTGGGACACGTACACCAGAAGTTGTTTTGTTTTTACGATAGTAACAGTAGGAAGGCGTTTCCTAAGCTTGCGGTACTTACGGATATCAGCTGAAAAAATAACACAAACAATTCTTATCGTATTCATGCTTGTTGTTTTTAAATGAAGGGCCTTCTCTAACATCTACATATATCAGCTGCCAGATCGATCAGGTAAATTACCACTCGTCAGCCCGGTGATAAACAATGCCATCCGCCACTGGCGAAACAAGGCTTCTCCCATTCACGCGGTATTACCAGGAATTAACGCTATTGAGTGTATGTAAGAGCAATCCTGCCGGAAAGGGCGGGAAAAAGTAATGATATGTCCAAGTTGGTATAAACTCCCCAATATTCGTGACACTGCAAGATTTTGATCACGCACAGACTTGGGCCACTTCCTAGTTACCAGTCGCCAGATCGATCAGGTAAATTACCACTCGTCAGCCCGGTGATAAACAATGCCATCCGCCACTGGCGAAACAAGGCTTCTCCCATTCACGCGGTATTACTAGGAATTAACGCTATTGAGTGTATGTAAGAGCAATCCTGCCGGAAAGGGCGGGAAAAAGTAATGATATGTCCAAGTTGGTATAAACTCCCCAATATTCGTGACACTGCAAGATTTTGATCACGCACAGACTTGGGCCACTTCCTAGTTACCAGTCGGTGATGTAAACAACCGCTAAGTGTCCGCGCATCGGCAATTTCGGCAGAAAACGTGTTTACCGTGAGAATAGGAAACCCCCGAGAATAGGAGAGGGACCTATATATCCTCTGGAGATTTCAGATAGTATTCTTGAGTGTCTGCCCTCTTGTAATGGTGTGTGAACCCTGTTTTGAATGAAATGTGTAGAAGTGCCATCAAATGAGTACATGACGATCTCTTGATATTTCAGACATCTTAGGGCAGCAACAAGATCACAGCTAGGCATAGACTGATAAATTTTCAAAAATTATTAATTTGCATTCATCATATTAACAGCAGGTTTCAAGACCAACCACATTTTAATGTATATTTTTTTCACAAATTGTGTAACTTATTTTATGAAATAGTCTTTAAAATAATTTATGTTGTACATCGAGTCAATTTGCTTTGGAAACATTCTTTTTATAAATGTACACGAAGAAAGATAAAGGTGACCATTTTTTTAAATATTTTTGTGAGTGTGCAGCTGTAATGCTATTTGTCTTGTCTAATAAGGACATACATTTCCACAGTGGTGGGAGAAAAATGGAGATAAAGCTTTTAATCATTTAACATCGGATCAACTCAATTTTGGAGCAGGTGGGGTTGGGGGAAGAAGCTAGCCAGATGTAATGTCCTGTTGTTTTTGTCTACTGCCTTGGAAGCTTGGACACCCCCCACCCACCCTACAACTGCAATGAGTGAGTTATATCATGAAGTGACATCTTATACAAGTGAATCAGTATGGTTTAATGCCGCTTTTAACAACATGATTCCAGCAATATCATATTAGGGGACACCAGAAATGGGCTTCACACATTGTACCCATGTGGGAATTCGAACCCGGGTCTTCAGAGTGACGAGTGAACGCTTTAACCACTAGGCTACCCCACCATCCACTTAATACAAGAGACAAGCCATCATTTTATGAACAATGCAAATAGTCAGGTACATATCAGAAAATCCAGTGATTGACATTATGAGTAGTATCAGATTATGATGTCATGCAATTGCATCTTCAGACATAGGTAGCCAGGTACCTATTCTAACTTGGCTGAGTATGGTTTTACGCCGTTTTTAGCAATATTCCAGCAATATCACGGCGGGGAACACCAGAAATGTACCTATTCTAACTTGGCTGAGTATGGTTTTACGCCGTTTTTAGCAATATTCCAGCAATATCACGGCGGGGAACACCAGAAATGTACCTATTCTAACTTGGCTGAGTATGGTTTTACGCCGTTTTTAGCAATATTCCAGCAATATCACGGCGGGGAACACCAGAAATGTACCTATTCTAACTTGGCTGAGTATGGTTTTACGCCGTTTTTAGCAATATTCCAGCAATATCACG